GGGGACTAGTTACAAGTTACAAACTCCTCTTCTGTGCCTGAGAGATAATTGAGTCGGGAACTGAACTAACTCAATTATCTCCAGCCACAGAAAACATATAATATGACAAAAAAAACAAAATACCTTTAAAACACATAAAACAAAAGTTACATCCCCTGATAGCCTCCATCTGGGTGACCAACATATCCAAAATCACCCAGATCGGCTCAGGGGTTCGGAATTTCCCTGGAAGTCATAATTCTGACTGACCATGCACATCGTTCTATGCCCAAAACAGTTCCATGAAATCAGTGCTAAAGGTGGGTCATGTTTGGTAGTTTAAAAATGAACAAAGTACTGAACGGAATCCATAGTTCTACCCTGGAGCTTGTTCACCGTGTTCGTGGGAATGTTTCCACAGAACAGTGCCCTTCTAAGTCGTTTGGAACCGAATGCTGGCGATGATGGAAGTCCAGCGGTGTTTGGGAGTTTGTTTGCCGATGTTAGTTCCATGAACTCGATGACCAAACACCGCTGCCTGCGTTCATGCGAACAAGATGGCCGCCACCTCGTGGTCGTTCGTACGAATTGTGGCCTCCCAGAGGAACAATTAGAACACTGCGGTGGAACTAGTAACGAGGTGTCAATTTGACCTTGGTGAGCTCTGGTTCGTGCGGTTGTTCAGTTTCTGAACAACATAATCCTAAATCACACGAACAGAGTAGTTTGCAGGGTATTTTGTATGGCCCATAGTTCTGGGGCAGGAGGCTAGCAGGCTCCTCCAAGAGCTTGTGGCAAACGACCAGACCACAGGGTGTTTGTCACATATAATTTGAATTTGCAAACTCTGAGTGCTCTGAGTAGCTGAAACAAATTATTACAATGATGGTTATGGAGGCATAAGACTTCCAGGACACAAAAGGAAAACAGAACAAGAGAAGAACAAAGTACGAAATGTAATAAAAGCATAAAAGTCCAATTCTTCCAGCTCACAGATCCTCCCTGTAGAAGTTTTAGTTGTCCAACAATGTTATGCTTGCTTATAAAATGTATAATATTAAACCACTTTCAGCTATACATGAGTGCAGTAAGCAGGGAAAGTTGACAGCTGGAACTTGTCAAGGAATATGACTGAGCAAAAAAGCAATTAAGGAGTTCCAATGTAAGCTATTAAAATACTCCTAACTTTCAACTGTACTAGATTTGCTGGAAAAGTCACGATTTTGGGACCGTGTTCTGAGTTTCACAAACCCAAAGAGAAATAATAATAAGAATAACTAGAAAAGCTACAATTTCTGGGGAAATTGTGTGAAGTGTTCTTGCCTTCACCAGTAGTCTACAACTGGAGTGGGCGGAGTAACTGGGTGGAGTGGCTTCAGTAACTGTTGTGTGGTTGGAGTGGCTGGAGTAACTGTGGAAAGGTTGGACTGGGCAGAGTAACTTTATGAAACATCGATTAGCTGTATTGTTGTAACATTGTATGTTACTGTTTATCTGTTACAGGTATAACGAATTGACTAACATGGAAATATATTTATTAAATGTGATAGTGCTCACTTTTGTGTTATCAAAACTGTAGGAATGACAGCAGTTTAGAGAATGTGTTTCATCTAGCAGCCTCTGTGTTCCGGAACACTCTGCTGGCTGCTCACACACCTGGGTTTATATGGCAACTCACTCTACAGCAAGGGCAGAGAAGAGCGGTTAAAAAAAACTGCTCCAAATTGCTCACTTCACTGGCAGTTGCCATCTTCAAACAGTCGTAGTTTTAAAAACTATACATCCTACAGCGAAGAGCTTTATATTGTGAGAATCACAAGACCCAGACCTACATTTTAAAGCAAAGTATGTGTCTGAAATATTAAAAATGAAGGCACAGTCGCAGTTTAGAAATTGCCCTTCAAGTTTGAGCTGGCTAGAGTGGAGTTTCAATGAATGTCAATGGACGGCATGAGTTGCAAACAAATGGTCATATTGTGAAAACTATCAGGACTATGGCTTAGCCGTGGACATTTTTAGTGGCAGCAGGGATAGCTGAACGTTTCGATAAAAGATTTGTGTGGGTGGGTTTGAAAATAAGGGAGTGGTGGCAGTTTAGAAATCATGTCCTGATTTTTCTGCTTTTGCCAGCTCCCACTCTAGTTTTGAACATTCCGCCATTCATTCCTATGGGACCAATTTCGCTGCAAAACAACGATATTTCATGAACCATCCGGCGAAATGTTCGACAAAGTAATAGCACACCGATCGGGAACAATCCGGACGTTTCAGGATATTACTGTCTATGTAGTGTAAAAACTGTGGGAGGAGTTAGGGTGGTAAAATTGGCTATAATAAGAATAATATATATGTGAGATAACAGTAAGTGATCTTGCTATGCAAGAACACTTAATAATATAGTTGTGAGATAAAAGTAAGTGGTCTTGCCATGCTAAAACACTTAATAATAATAACAACAACGTATTTAACCAGGTAAGATACATTCAGATTACTCTGGTTTCCAAGTATGTCCTGGGGATGTTATTTTTTCCCAGCATCCAGGGGATGTTACTATTACACATTTACACCGTGAACCTCATCTGGGAACCTCCATCCACCACCTTAACCTAAGACTACTCAGGGAAAAGTTTCACTTTACATATGAATAGCTATGTATTTAGCGCTCCATTCTTGTGAACTATTACATGATTTGTATTGCTAATACAATGATAAATCCCAACTGCCTTGAAGCTTGTTAGACCATTACAATGATTCCATTGTGTAAAAAAAATAAAAATAAAAAAAAAAAGTGTTTTTTGTCTGTGTGCTAAATGTCAACATGCTGTGCTAAAGCATGTAAATCTGTGTGAGATCAGTTCATCAGATCCATCAGATTTAGGCATTCCAGAGCCAAGTAGCGTAGCATGAATAAGTGAAGGCGGAGGGTATCTGCACATGAATGTGTATTTAGTTATGAGCTGGCTGCCAGCTGTTCAACATCACTGCCTGAAAGCATGGCTTCCGGGTGTGTCTCAGTGACGGTGTGACACGTTGCAGCTCAGACATCACTTTTCCACCCTAAGTATAAAAACATACCCCCTGCAGCAAAAAAACCCCCAAACCTGTATCTGCAGAATTGTTACACAGATGAAGGAAGTTTTTTCTAGATCAAGATGCAGTCACTAAATGTAAAAAGTTGACACATCAGAAGTAAAGACTATTAATGCAATAAAGTAACAGCTGACAAAATTGACCAGTCTCCTAGCAACATTAAAAACTTGTTTTAATATTTTTATGTGATCATGAGAAATTTAATAGGAAAAGGGGTAGGAGGGGTCACTGCAGGGCTGGGCAGATGCCCGGGGGCACCAGGAGCATAGGGGCCTCACAGGCTTGACAACTGTTCAGTATATTATTTCAGGAGATTTATTCAGAACCTTTAAACCCTCTTTATTTAAAATGTTTAGGTGGACTAATCACCTCAGTATCAGCCGTTATCTGTACATGCAATCTTGCTGTTACGAATATATACCTTGACCTTGACGGTAACAATGTACAGGTACTAATTGTACATAAGCAAGACAAAATCCACACATAATTGTTTGAAGCCCGTAAAGATATAATCAAGTTCTTATAATATTTTTAATAGTCCAGTTGGCCCCCCCCTTTGACGTACTAAATGATTGTGTGAAATAATCTCTGCTGTACGGCATTTTTTTTAAATAAATGTTTCAACACTGTTTTTGTTGGAGGAACCAAAAAATATAAGCTTAATTTTATCAATAATTTAAATTTTTATTGCTGGACGTGGTTGTGTAGTCAGGGCCCCTGTGCACTGCTTTGCCCAGAGACTGGGCTGTTAAAACAGCCCTGGGTCACTGCCTGTCCTTTGGGTCATGGGGCACAGGAAATCCAGTTTTTAGGTAATGGGGCACGCAAGCCCTTTTCTTGGAGAAGAGAAAGGCCAAACCTAGGTGTAATGAATCTAGGGAATATTTGGCACATCATTTGTTAATCAGAACAAAGATCACATGGAAATTAGTATATACTGTGCCCAAGTTGACATTTCAGGTTTTCTGACTGGTGTTTCACATGATTCTCAGCCAGGCAGAGAAATATATATATGACTCCATGGCCACACAATATGAGTATGGCAGAGATCTATGCCTCTGTGACCACACAAGAGTATGGCACTCCACATTTAAGACTCAGCTTCACGCCATAGTCGGGGTAGCAGATGGTGATTGCTGCCTCAATCCCTAGTGTGTATTGGAATGGTTTTAGTTGTAAGCATTATTCCACCTCTGCCATATGATCTGTCATACTGCCGGGTTTCAGGCTGCTGGGGAATCTCTACTAAATGTTGAGTAAAGCTTTTAGTAGTGAAGCTGGACCCATCACCATTGGACTTCAGACACTAAAACCACTTCAGTCTACTGTAGTTGTTATGGTGCCTACAGAGTTTCTTTAAGACAAGTTAGCACATCAACAAAAATATACACAAAAATGCATTCAGTTTGGACAGCATTCAAATGAAGCAACTCATTTAATATGTCATATTAGGTCTAATTACAAAACAATGGATCATACCTGGATAACCAACAAAGATCTAGCCATTTAATTATTTTTCCAATATTTTGACTGGAAGACCTAACTTACTATAGGTTTCTTTGACCAGAAACTGCGTGGAATCAGGTCTATGCATTTCCATGTGTTATAAATTCATATTTAGTATGTTTTCTTAAACTGTGTCAACTTTGTAAAAGGAAGGGAACATTTTATGGGTCATTGAGTCCCCTGCAGAATGGGAATTCCACTTGGTATTGGAGATCTGTTGTTATCTCAATGAGTTATTTAAAGAATGAATCCTATGTTACACACACCACTAACAATGTATTCTCAGTCTGTTAAGTCCGCAAAGAACAGCTGGTTAAACAATCCTTTGTAAGTGAAAAAGCTTCAAGCATCAGTTGCCCCTGAAAATAACATGTGGATCTGCAAAAATAGAAATATAGTTTGTGTGCATTTCCTAATGCAGCTAACCTGAATCTACCTTAGCTGTTTCTCAAACCTCAAAACATGTAGTAAAAATGTTAATATCGTGCTTCCAGCTGCATGAAGAGCCTAATGAGAAAAGGAAGTACATTTGCAGGCAGATGTTCTCCCAAGATAATAAATAAGAGGGAATGTTTGGATTTTGGTATACATGGCTAGAACATTTGGGGGATTTACTTAACCCTTCAATACGGAGATTATCGTGCATATCCATCAAGGAATAACATGAAGAGTGATAAACCATCTATTGACATACATATATGTCATGGATGGTCTAATGTAGCGGGTTAATGTTTTTGTTGCAGTTATCCAGCTATCTCTTTTAATTGAACTTTTTTAAATTATATTATATGTGGTAGATGTACCACAAGTGTATATTAATATAGACCATGCATGTCAATGCAATGTCTACTTCAAACTGTACATGTGCCTGATGCCAGACCTATGTGTGAGTATTGTGGCGTAAATACACAAGTTATAGGTGACTTGGATCAAAGGGGAAGGTGTGTAACATAGATTTCAGGCCCCTACATCTATAGCATAACTACTACTAAAGGATAGTAGATATGGACTGCATACCTAGCACACTGCGAACCTTGTGCATTAAACCTACCATCATATGTTTTTCTCAAGTAGAACACCTCTATGTCTCTTGACCACTGAAATTGGCCATTCACAACCTCTTTATCTTGCTAGCTTTGGGTTAGAGTTCCGATGGAATTCATTCCATGCCAGGAAGTTGGTCAGAGATGCTGTCATTAACCCCTTCCTCTAAACAGCTATGGGTTAACTAAGGTGGGTGCAGTGGATGTCCTGCACCAATGCACCTTACTTTGTAATGTGGTTGTAGTGCCTCTTTGCCACGGATGTGCAGTTCTAATAGTAACAATTAGGTGAAATACTTGGAGCCTCTCTCCCACCTCCAAGAGTCACTGTTTCAGCATTCTGCTTTAGAATCTGCTTAGCCCACTACAATCATGACTCTGGTTTTTGGCAAACCATTTTGCAGCTGCAGCTTGTGGGGAATTGCCCCAAGTACCCATACAGGCAAACCACCACTAACTAGGTGAGTCTGAATTATTAAAACTGAGCATTCAAGCCTCCAATTGGCCTACTTGTGAAATAACTTTACTCAACACACACACACATTGAGGGTGTCACTAGTGCAATCTGCAGTGCTGTATTTGCCGCGAGGCAAACAAGGCATTTGACTTTGGAGGCACTTTCCAGAGGGGGGCAGAAAACACCACCCATAAATGCCCAGGCAAGTGCCTTGTTAGTCTCGGGGTAGGCGGCTAGCTGAGGTCCAGGCGGGCGTCCTGCCGAGAGCAGGAATATGATGTTGCATTCCGGCTCCCGGCATCACTCTGCGGCGCACTCACCTGGACCTCAGCAAGCCGCCCGCCTGCCCAAACAGGCCGGCCAGCCTCACTGGACCCCAGGTAAAAAAATCCATCCAGCTGTGCCAAAGGTAGGGAGGCTGGGTGGATTTAAATTAAAATGTGTTGACGTGGGGGGAGGATGTGTGTGTGTGTCTGTCAGTGCGTGTGTATGTCAGTCAGTGTGTGTATATCTGTCAGTGTGTGTCTGTATGTCTGTCAGTGTGTGTCTATGAGGGAGCCTGTGTGTCTGAGTGACTGTGTGTGTCTGTGAGTGTGTGTGTCAGTAAATGTGTTTGTGTGTGTCTGTTGGTGATTGTGTGATGCTTCTCACTGCCAGGAGATGAGAGGTTAAAATGGAAGCAGCGAGAAGCAGAGCTCCTAGCCAATTTTCTCTCTTATACCCTGAGCTGTTGGATGAGAGTCCAGCAAAATGTAGAAGAGGAACTGTATAAAATGTAACTCCCTCAATAATATGCATTCTTGGTAATTAACATGCATTTGGACTCAGTACTTGGTTTGGGCCCCTTTTGCAGCAATTCATGCCTCAATGTGGCATGGCATGGAAGCTATCAGCCTGTGGCACTGCTGAGGTGCTATGGAAGAGCAGGATGCTTCAATAGCGGCCTTCAGCTCTTCTGCATAGTTTGGTCTCATGTCTCTCATCTTTCTCTTGGCAATGCCCCATAGATTCTCTATGGGGTTCAGTACAGGTAAGTTTGCTGGCCAATCAAGCACAGTAACCCCACGGTCATTGAACCAGGTTTTGGTGCTTTTGGCAGTATGGGCATGTGCCAAGTCCTTCTGGAAAAAGAAGTCAGCATCCCCATAAAACTTGTCTGTGGAAGGAAGCATGAAGTGCTCCAAAATCTCCTGGTAGACGGCTGCGTTAACCCTGGACTTGATGAAGCACAGTGGACCAACAGCAGCAGATGACATGGCTCCCCAAATCAACACAGACGGTGGAAACTTCACACTGAACTTCAAGCATCTTGCAGTGTGTGCCTCTCCATTCTTCCTCCAGACTCTGGGTCCTTGGTTTCCAAATGAGATGCAAAAGTTGCTGTCATCAGAAAAGAGGACCTTGGACCACTGAGCAACAGACCAGGTCTGTTTTTCTTTTTAGTTTTGCCTTTTACGTTGCATTACTGAAATAAATGAACTTTTGCACGATATTCTAATTTTTCGAGTATCACCTGTACAACACACCATTAGATTGATATTTTAAGTAAAGTTGCAGCTAACTCCTCCAGGCCTTGAAAATAATGCCCTGGAGAACTCCTCGACTGAACTACATGATCAACTTAAACAGCGATCTGACCATATCGCACAACATCATATAAAGGTGGAGGAGTAGAAGAAATAATCTCCATTTCATGGGATCCCGGCGTCCATCAAAACCCAAACTCTGCTTTCTTTCTTACAAGCTTGGATACCGTAGGTACTTTACCTCTCCTATGATTCAGACAAATCACTATTGATAGAAAGAGCACACCACCTGGGCCCTGAGATAACTAACACAAGCAGGAACCAGACCAAGGCAGGTAATAACCCATCTATTGAACTTCTGTGATAAGGAAACCATAGTCCAAGTGTCCAGAAGGACAAGTAAAATACTTTAATGGGAACAAGGAGATCCTCATCTTCAACACAAGTGGCAGCCAAAAGGCGTAAATTCTCTTCGATCTGTAAAACCTTACTGGAGAGATTAAATTTCAACTCGAATTCCCTGCAAAGTTAAAATATATTCATGGTAGCCAATCCTATCTGCTTAATTCTTCTGCTGCTGCCCATGAACTAAATAACCACCCTTGACTTTACCTGAACTGCCAGATTATTTACCATTGTTCTCTCTATTGAATGGAACAGGGGTCATTCAGCTATTACTAGCCCATTGTTATCCACACCTGCTGGGAGCAGGTAAAGTTATATCTTAAAACCCCATCTAACAGCTTACCCTACTGACCAAAATTAATGGCTCAACCTACAGCATCATGTCAATACCAGTCTCAACTCCCCAGTTCAACTTAAGCTAATTCTGCCCCAAGCCCATAAACACACCCCGAGTGGTATTGCTTCAAAAATAACCACTGGAAAATAAAGTTCCATCAGGTGTGCTTGAGACAATATCTGTGTTGCATTGTTGTGGGGATTCTATTCAGGGGGTTGAATCATGCTAAGAAGTCATAAATTAAATTTTCAGTTGAATTTGGATAAACCAAACATTCATTGTGTTCATTTGCAAACAGCTGGAAGTCTGTAAATTTTGACAATAAACCTGATTTTCAATGGGAGTTGAATAAATTTTAGTTACAACTGTACATTGTCAACAACTGGGATTCACTAGAAGCACTCAGTCCATTCAAGGAATTAGGACGGCAATTGCTGCCACCTCCTTGTATGAGAACTAATAAAAATCAAGTGGTTTTACGCAGTTTAGATGCCCTGAGAAACTTTCATCAAGTATTTTGGCCTTTCAGAATTCTAGAGTATTGCTTTTTTGGAATCACATCTTTTTTTTCTCATGAGGGCTTTATACACTCTGCAATCCACAAAAGTTAACACTAAAGGCCCAGACTCAAAATGACCTTGCGATCATGAGAGGGGTAAAACAGTCTTGTCCATTATCACTAATCCTTTTCAATTTATCCTTAGACCCAATTATAAGACACAGTTTCTCTTCTGCTGACATAAAAGGAATTATGCTTACACACAATTAAACTCATGGGATTGTGGATTCTCTTACTTTATTTCACAGACCCTGTAACATCTCTCCCCAATGCAATAACTCTTGATAGATATGGCTTGTAACATGCTTTTTTAATTAACAGTTCCAAGTAAACAGCTTTGAGGTTAGGCCAGGTCCCCCAATAAGTCTAAGGACACCGACCACCCTCTCCTTGACAATCTCAAAAATTTCAAATATCTAGGTGTTCTTATCCACAAAAAAAAATGTGGATTTTATCTATAGAGTTAACATGACACCACTTCTGGTTGAGGTGAGGGATCTCCTCTCTAGATGGGTGCATCTCCCTCTGTCCCTCTTGACGGAATTTCACTGAATACTGAGGCAAAGTAGGTACTACTTTTTTTCCTCTGTAAATTTCCTATGCCTGACACTTCTAAAAGTTGGTTGCTCCGTGTCTAGAAGTGCCGATTTAGGGGGGCGGGGCCTGACAGCCAAGCTGGCCAGACGTGCTTGGAGAGAGCTCTGGCAAAGCTAAGCTTAAACGCAATGAAAACTCGCCATAAACGTGGTTTTTACAGACCAATATAACAGAAGCTCATTGCTGCATCGAGTGGGAGCTTGTGGATACCAAAAAAGTGCCTTTCTGTCGAGATCCACCACACTTCACACCTAAGGCCTAGCATGACAGGCGGCCTGATGGCTGGGAGAAACCGCCGATCTCCCGACACGGGATCCGACCCGAGCAGCAACCTTGCCAACACCCCGCATCCCCCCCCTCTGGACCGGTGGGGGTCATCCAGGTCCCAGTTGGAGAAACCCTCAGATATGCAGCAGGGGAGTACCCGGCCGGAACAAAGCTTGCATGCCGTAACCAAGATGGCCGCTGAGCCACAATCCCAGGAGAGCCTGCAGGCCTGGAGAGAGGGCTTTGAGGCCAGGTTCAATAGAGTCTGTGACGACTTTTGGAGGCGACTAGAGTGCAGACCCAAAGCAAGTCACCCACCCGCTACACTGCCACTTGAAGCGGAAACGGCAGTTCCCCGAAACGACATAAGGCAGGGGCCAAGCAAAGATAAGCGCCCACCCCGCCACCCGACTTACCAGCTGCCACTCCGAACACCCAGACGTAAAGCGGCACCACATCGCAGCAAACCCACCTTACTGCACAGCCGACGCTTCGGCGTGCGACACCTCGGAGGGGCACGAAAATTCACCTGCTCACGGCCATACCGAGAGAGTCTCACTGGACAGCACTGCTCACAAGCGCTGAGAAGCCTCAAAGGCCACGGCCCAGATGATCATCTCCACTATTTGCCGGTGGACAAAGTGAAAAAGCACACTGGACTATGGGGCTAGAGGCGTCCATGCACGCAGAGAGGTAGACTCAGGACCCCCAGAGCTGACAGCCCGCATCACTACCCACCAACATGCTCCTGGCTCTGCCAAAACATGGGAATCGGATGACTGGTGACTTACTGAAGAAGTTTATACTAACTTTATTTTATATACCATTCTTCCATGCTCCTGGTCCCTTGGTTTTTTATTTTTTTTTATTTCCTGTTTGTCTCTCCTTTTCCTAGCTATCATTGTGCAGGGAACTGCAGTGAGGTGGACATTTAGATCGAACAATAGCCGGCATTGAGTAGACCTAGCCTGTTCACACCTTATATTGTATACAATGCTCAGTTCTCTGTGCCTAAAATATTTCATGTATATCGGAATTTTAACTAAAACATATATATAGTTCATTGTCAACATGCATGCTTTAGCTAATATACAGGATAACGCTACTGTGTGGTTTCAGGCAGAGGAGAGGGTGGCTTACTCGACTGTTCCCTTAAGGCTACCATAAAGCCGCTCAGTGAATGTATCTTTAGACATGCTGCCTGTTCTTTCAGAGTTACCCCCTCTGCTGCAGTCTGTATAACATAGCACTACTGTACCAAGCTCTAATGGTCGCCGGCCTGGGCCATCCCTAAGAGTTTATCTCCAACCACTACATACCAACTTGTTAATGTGTCTAAGACCTTCTTAGCCGTAGCTCCGTATGTCATAACTTAACGAGAATAGAAGGTCTTGCGATATAAACTACTGTCTTTTTTCACGTGTTCTCTTTATAACATAAAAAATGTGCTCTTTTGATCTGCCATGAAAATGTTTGTTATTGAAATGCTCGCTTCAGCTGTCGTGGCGAAGCAAAGTGTATTGTTATCTTTGTTACCTTCAGCACAATAAAAATAAAGAATAAAAAATAAAAATAAAAAAAGAAGTGCCGATTTAAAGCAAAGCTATAAAAGATATGAATTAAATTACAAAGAAAGAAGACTGCAGTTCCTTGGGTCCTTATTAACAAGAATTGGGAGAATTGGGAGATACAACAGTAATATTTAATATTAATAAACAGTTCATTAGTACACAAAACGGTGGTGCAAATAATGTATTGTAAGGTGACTTTTTTTGGTGGTTACAATTAAGATTATCATACTGTATGCATTACAAAACACACAAACAAAAACTTCCACAATTGTGAAACCATAATGATAAATTTACTTTAGACTGACTGCAACCGACAGCATATACTTTGTCCAAATACATTTAATATACATTCCACAATATTATAGCATTAAAGGGACACTATAGGCACCAAAATTATTTTATATTACTAAAGCAGTTTTGGTGCCCTGCATTCTCACTGCTCTATTCTCTGCTAATTAGGAGTTAAGTCACTTTGTTCATACACACCTAGTCACACCTTCCTATGTGTGACTTGTACGGCATTCTTAAACACTTCCTTTAAAGTGAGATATAATGTGGTTTAAACTTTCTTTATTGCACATTTTGTTTAATCTTGAATTTCTTATCTACGTGGTCTGTTAATATCCTGCTGCAGCCTGCAAGAGCATCCTGTGTGTGATTCAAGTTCAGTTTATAGAGCAGGAGATAACTTTTAAAGTAAGTTAAGAACTGATTGAAAATTATTTTTCTTTCTTTCTTTCATGCAGACTGTGTGAGTCACAGAGAGTGAGTCACAGACAAGGGACATGTGGCTAGGGCTCAATAAACAGAAACAAAAACAATTTAACTCCAAGATGGTAGAGAATTAAGCAGGGAGACTGCAGGGGCATGACCTATACACAAAAACAGCTTAATGAAGCCACAAATCTATTGATGCCCATAGTATCACTTTAAACATTTCTATACCAAAATTAAAGAATAAGTGATACAATTTGTACAAGACTGATTACTGCCAAGAGCCTTCACATGTATATAGCAGCCAAGCATATGCTTTTCCTCCTAAAAACCCTTTACAGGGAAAGAAAGTGACTTGAAGGGAGGCCACAACTTTCTGAGAAAAGCCCTAGAAGGGCCACAACAGTAAATAGATCACTGTATTATAGCATAAAATCATCATTGATAAATTCTAGGTTAGCTAAGGGGAAATCTTTTTTTTCCAAATGACTATGCACTAAAGCTTATTTAACTTAGTTTAGTCAACAGGTAATCATACAGGTTTATTTACTAATTTGAGAATTCAAGGTGAATTTCATTCTTTTAAGACAAAATAGCCAAACTGGATAAGTTATTCCATGCGTTATGCTTCCACAGTTAAACTATTCTGCCTGTAAATTGGAAATTAACTTTTAGTGACTATCCCTGTTGCTGTTGAAAGGGATGCTTTAGTGTTCTGATAATAAAGATACTGAGTTAAAAGGAAAGGTGGGAAGGCACTTAGAAATTGACAATTTAGCAAATGCCATTTATACAGGGCTTTATTGTGATAGGAAATGTCAGGTAAGGGAGACCAATGTGGAACAGAAAAATAAAGGAGATAATCATTTGTTTGATTTTGTCGCCCAAAACACGAAAAAGCAGTTTGGACGCAAGAGTTGATGGATGCAGACCGTTTCTTTTGTGTTTCTCGCTGTTTATTATCTGGAAAAAATATCATTCAGATGAATTCTGCCCTCCTGCTTGTAAACGGATCCTTAGTCATTCTGCAAGAGACAATTAAACAAATAAAATTAGATTAAGATGTTCGATCAATTCTAGGAAAAAACAATACCCTTTAAAAGGTCAGATGGAAGATCAAAAATAAGCATGAAAATGACTTTAGCTTAAAGTAGTTTGCTGTACAGAATATGCTCCTGCAGTCTCACTGCTCAATTATCTTCCGATCGACAGACATAATGAGCTTTTACACTTGAAAGTAGCAAGTCTAGACCCACCTCCTTCCCTCAGTGCCTTTCCCTCTCTGCAATGTAAGTGAATAAATTTTGGTGTGTGAATTTTATTAAAGGACACGGAGTGGAAGGCAGCAAGGGGAGTTTTGCCAATGTTGGATTCCAGGTAAGTTTTATCTTAATTCTTCAGGGTACCTTACAAAAAAATGGGGGTGGATACACTAATCGTGCATTTTAAAACAAAACATCCTTAAAAAAAAAAAAAAAAATAGTTTGGAGTAAACCTTTAAAGTTAAATTAACAAAGCATAATATAAGAACTTCTAAAGTAAACACATTGAGATGTAAAAATTTTACTTTTTCATGTAGGCTGTGAATCAAAATCAAGGGTGGGCGTGGCTTGGGATGAATAAATAAACTGATTTGACTCTTAAATGACCGAATTGAACTGTGAGTTTCCAGAAACATGATCTACACACCAAAATGGCTTGATTGCACAAAAAATTGTTTAAGTGCTTACACAGTCCTTACAAACTGGTTAAAGGTTTAACCCCTTCTCTACTTTGGTGACTCACAAGCAGAGTCAAATCACAGTTGTTTCCAAATTTTTTGGTCATGCTAAAATGAAGATATACATTTGTTTTTTTCTATTTGTGTTTTATTTTAGTATACAGCTGCCAAATAGTTGGGTGTTTTCAGTGTACAAATTTATAGTTAGCGTTTACTGGATGGCATTATGGTACCAAACGGAAAAACAAATTATACCATCCATGTTTTAAAATGAAGACTGTTTTCCTTGCTTGATTTAGTTCCTTCAAAGAAAGTGTTTTTTAAAACACAGAACAAGATTTTAAGTACATAGTACAGCCTGTTGGCCAATATAGTCTAGGCCACTATAGTGCCCATCTAAAGCGGTTTTGTATTTCATTGTATGTCTACTGCACTACAGAGGTTTCTATCATGTCAGTCAACCTACTGATTCTCCTCCAAGCTTTACATGATCATATATGTTCTACGGATTCGTTTTTTAACATTCAATTCATATTCATGCTTATTACACCATGGAAGACATCTGAATAGTTAGGAGCATGTTTGAAAAAGCATTAGTAGTGCATAAAGTTTCATAAGAGGAGTATTTGACATCGATCTTCAAAAAGCTACAGTAGTTCTCTCCAACTATCATCACATTGATTAAGGTACTAAACAATTATGTAAAATGAATGTAGCATTTACTTTTAACCACTCCAGGAATGCTGCATAGTAAAGCAGACCGATTATGGTCATTACTTTAACATTATCTGTACATAATTCAGAGCAATATGGCTGTATTCTGATAGGATGGATATATAAAAAAAAATATATATATATTCTTTATCTTCTTTCTAGATCTCTGGCTACTTGTTACCTGTATTTCCTAGTATGCATAGCTTACTGTAGAAGACAGAACACAGATCAAGCAAGTACTATAGAACTTATGTACACTGCATTCATATACACACACACACACACACACA